TTCATCAATGGGCAGTGCCATACTGGAAAAGTTTGTCCCGAGAGTTTGTGCAGTCTCTACACTTGTAAGTTTTGAAGACTTAATTAAACAAAGACAACATATCTGATCCACTGTTAGCAAAACTCCTTCCCTGAGTCAAAAGTTGGACTATGGACTTCCAAGAGTTAATCCAACCAATATCTCTATGATTCTATGATGTAGAATGTAGAATGCAGAAACCTAAAATTTCACATACAACTTCAGACACTTTGGAAGACCAGAGGATAAATTTTGCCCTTGAATTTGCACTAATATTCCACTGATGTTAATGAGAATTATGAACATGTAGCTGAAGATGAGGTTTTGGCCCCAGAATGAAGATTCACATGAGGTATTTGAGGCATATGTCAGATTTTTCCGAAAGATTTTACAAGTGATATTTTTGCTGAGAAAGTTCAACTGACAGGCATCTTGTTATTAACGATAATTTCTAATAGAAGAAATCCTTTCCTCTGAACTGAAAAGGACATTGTAGTGGAACTTGGAACCTGTGGCTAACCAATACCATACATCTTAATAGGGCTGCAGACCTTCCTGGGGGAAATGCTATAAAATTTTTAAAGCCAATTTATTGAAGGAAATTGCAGACAGCTTGAAAACATCCATGATCCTTTATCCTGACATTGGCTTGTTAAGATTGTGCCATGACTTTGTGTCACTGTTCTTTCTTATTTTGGTCTTTCACTTTATCTGACTTTGGCTTTCATGTCTTGTCTTATGTATCACTTTTTCTCTTCTATCCTGCCATCACCTCCTCCCTTTTCCTATTTCAGGTATGACAGGATCTATTTATTTTTGTCCTGTGTTTGCTCTGTACATGCAATTAATGAACAAGAGTTGTGGGGTTTTTTTCATATAAAAAATTATTTTCCCTGAAAATACCATCTCACAGGTTCCATTTCACAGATTGGTATTAGGTAGGATATTTGAGTTAGGCATTGTGAACCTTGTGGGTTTGGAGCCTATGGCACGCTGTAAAGTCCATTTCTTCTTTCCTTCTTAGTCTCAGCAGTCCAAATTCCTTGTCCCAATGCTTTCATTATTTTTTCAGTTAAGGTGACAAATGAATCAAAATCTTTCTATTCTCTTCACAGAAGCAAACTGTTTTCAGTGTCTGTCTGTGCACAAAGCTGCCATGTCGTGGTTCAGTTCAGCTGATAGTGAGGACACCACAACTTTATAATCAGGCTATTTCACAAGACTAAGGAAAATGGTGAGTTTTTAAACTTCATTGTTTTCCACCTGAGGAAACAAGCTTCTTAGAATGATAGAAAAGTAGATTCCTCCAAATTGTCAGGAGGGAGGAAAAAAAACACTCAAAAAAAAAAAAAAAAGACAGAGTTAACCAAGTGATATTTTTTATTATTATTTACAGCAGATGAATACTGTTTTTATTGTCCTGATCTATTGTGAAATTTCATTTGGAAATATTGAACATTTTTACTCAAAAGAAATAATAAGTCAGAGATGGAGTCTGAGGAGGTATAATACTTTACCTCTTGAATAATTTCTGTGAGAACAAAGTCCCCCAAAGTAGCTAAAGGCCACACTCAATTTCACTCTTTCTTTCACCCCTTCCCATACCTCATCCCAGAGAAGCTTAGGAAACTCCCTTCCAGGGTCAGGGGCATCAGTCTGTTCCAATGAGAAAGGGGCTCCCCTTCTGTTGTTGGACTTCCCCCTTTCTGAAGGAGAACTCTAGTTATTGCATGGAAAAGACTTTGTCAGTCTGTAAATGGTACTTAATTTATCTTTCAACTGTTCCCACTTTGCTTGAGTTAAAATGCTCCAACAAGAATAAAAAATTTCTTTTCCTTTGAGTGATTTGTATTTTACCACAAATCATAAAGTAAAAATGAGAACTATGAGCCACCATAACATTTCCACTCACCTTAAGGTAAATTCTTTCCTCTGGTAGATCAAGATTTGAATTCCAGAAATATGCTTCATTTTCCTCAGGATAAGAACAAATGTGAGTTACTGCAGACCAAAAGATTAAAATGAAAGAAAATTATATTGGATTTCCAGCTACTTAATCAGAAAATGCAGAATTGTCTTCTTATGCCAATAGCTTGGGTTGTGTCAAAAAAGGAGCCTGAAAAAATATGTCTGCGATCATGTTTAAATGGCAAAGTTGCAGGGAGAAAAAATAGGATTTTTATTTAAAATGAAAAATAACATTAAAGAATTCCAAACCCTAAGACATTTTCAGAACTCAGACATTTTATTTTTGCCTCTCTTTGACTAGCATGTAGAAGAAAATAACGGTCCTTAGTTTTGATGGGTAAAAGGAGGGTTTTCAGAACTGAAGGAGAATGTTACATTTCTTTTCAATGAGATTTTTAAAAAGGTAACATTTTTACAGAACAAAAAGAAATGTACAAAGGTAATAAATATTTAAAATCTCCTCAGTGACTGATTAAAAAAATTGAGTGTTGGGAGATTTTAAAAAGTTTTATTTATTTATATGGGAGTATGCACATGCATTCCTACTGAACAGCAATTGCATGACCGGCATGCGTTAAATAAAGCACAAGCAATTAAACCCCTTTCTAACAACCTAGAAAAATATACCTCAAGCACTCAAAACAGCTAAAGAGTAATTGCAATCAAGGGAAGAAAGGACAGTCACAATACTTATTCTCCATTTTGTTTGATCCATCTCAAAGCATAAATGAGGCATAAAAAATCTGTCCATTAAGGACAAAGCTTGCTTGACCTCATTATTTGGCCAGGAAAGAACACTGAAGCTAAAATACTCTGGTTATTGGGAAACATTTGCATTCCTCAAGAACTTTGGATGATAAAAAAAAACCTTTGAAGAGTAGTTTAGGTGACCCTCAGACATTACAACAGTTGTACTAAGTGAACAGGTACCCTGACATTGAGAGTAGTGGCAGGCAATTACCCTGACATGCAGAATTTCAGCAAGTACTAGTTATATGTGTCTTCTTTCTTATGGGTAACCATTGTTTTTCATTAGTCTGCAGGAAATAGCTTGGAAAATGTGGAAAGTCATTTTGAAAATTATTTTAGCTGTACTCTAGAGTGGTGGTTTCTGTACCACAGTGCTACCACCATGGAAACTACACTTAATCAATCAAGTTGTGATCTTCAGCCCTATGGCTGGGAGGGGAACAATCCCATAACAGACTGAACCTGGCTGGGTCTGTGTCACATAAGCAGCTGGAGCACCTTGGAGTATCAAAAAACATTCACAGAAAAATTGCAGAAGCTGACGTAAAATTGCATCTCAAACAGGAAACTATACAAGTAAATCTGAAATTGTCAATTACCTGACAAAAATAGAAACAATGAAGCATTGTATAATGCTGATGCTATATCATAGTAGTGGAGAACACATAACATCTCTAGGTATTTTGAGACCATTTTGCAGCAAGAATTTTATTTGTCTCAAAAATCCTCACTAGAGTCAAGATGTTCTTGTAAAATCAGTGGTAGCACTCGAGTAACCAAAAAGAGAAACAAAGAAAAACCTTGTAATTCTGAATTATGGTAACTTGTTTGCTCAACCACATTCTATTGCCTTTATGGGATAAAGAGGGACATTGCATGCTGACAACAGAAGGAAGGTGTCTGAGTCACAGGAAGGAAAAAAAAATAGGCATAAAGAGCCTTTAGGATAGATTGATGCCAAAGACCCCTCTTTCATAGAAGAAATTTTGTTATAACATTTCAGGCTACAGTCCAGTTTCATCATTGCTTCTTTTAATTTTCCAAAAGTTTTCAGGGTGATAAAAAAATCCCTCCTCCTGACCATGCTGCAGGACTCCATCCTACTTCTGGACCCAGAGGACTGTGGATGGGGAATCCTCCTGGCTACCAGACTGCACATGCTTGAGTGGATCAAGCTTCCTGGCATCTCCCTGCCAGTACCCTGTCCAGGCCTTGCAGCATCAGCAGTTTCTCATCACTTCCCAACAGTAATTAATTTTTTTAACTGAGCTTGGGTGTTTTATTATTTCCTAAAACTATATATGTTCTATTTCATTTAAAAGTGAATAAGAAAGGGGGAAGTGCCTCAGTCTACGCCCCATTGTAAGTAAGGCTGAATGTCCATGACAACATCCTATGGCCTTCTGATCCATGTATCAGCAAAACTAACCAGACCAGCCCAGACTCAGACCTGTGAGGTACATCCTGATCAGCTCAGCAGCACCAGTCCTGCTGGGAGGGGAAGGCAGAGCTCATCTTACTTTGCTCCTCACACAGCTGACAAGATAGAGGTAGGAGAAGGACTCCCAGTTTCTGCACCCCGCTACAGAAAAAAAATGATCCAGCTGCCATATCTGGAGTACTCCAGCAGCAGAGGGTCCCACACAGCAGGCGCCTGCAGTCCCCATCAGATCCCTGGCACGGAAGAGCTGCCAGATTCCTGCAATGGGACTTCAGGGCGCAGGAGATGCTGGCAGAGCCCACCTCTGCACATCGACCCCTTCATCCAGGCAACTAGACAAGAAGGAATGGCCTCAAGTTACACCAGGGGAGGATCAGGTTGGATATGGAGAAAAATTTCCTCACTGAAAGAGAAGTTAAGCATTGGAACAGGGTCTCCAGGGGAAGGGTGGAGTCCCCATCCCTGGAAGTGTTAAATAAACAAGCAGACATGTCACTTTGCCATACAGTTTAGTGGCCACGGTGGTATTAGATCAAAAGTTGGACTTGGTGATCTTGGAGGTCTTTTCCAACCTTAATGATTCTATGATTCAATGATTCTCTCTCTTGCTATCCTTTGAGGACAATAGCAGCCCTCACAGTCCCCTTACCAAGAGTACATTCCTGTGGCCCTCAGGCTTTTGTCTCTCTCGCCGTACCTAAAAAGATAACTGAATCTAGACAAAACTGATCTATTTTCAGTGCTTGGTCATACTAAAACAGAAGGTCTGGTGGCAGCCAGCACAGACTCCCCCTCCACCTCCAACACTATTAATTTTCCCCCCTGAGCATGGACAAGATGGCTGCTGGTGTGGCCATTGCTCCTCAGAAAATGTCTGCCATGGTGACCTGCCCTCACTGCAAAATGGCTGCCACTAGAGTCACCACCAAGGTTCAGATGGCTTGTCACTATTTTCCCTGCCCCATGCCAGGAGTTTATTCTCTCTCCTGTCACAGTGTGGTCTCTGCCTGCCCTACCTGCTGAAGGAAAAGCATGCCTAGCGCTTACCTTTGGGGTGCCATTATCCATCCTCCCACAAGGACAAGGTGGGGAGGAAAGGTCACAGGCTCCCAGGCTCACTGTCACCTTCCCTCACTGCAAAGGTAATCTAGTGAGCTATGGGAGATTAAAAGATTACAATTCCTAATGTTATTGGTATGGAACAAAGGAGATGAGGGAATGTAAACAGCCAGGGAAAAAGCACAGGGGAGGAAACAGAGATGGAAAGTGAAAAATGGAAAATAGGCCAAGAATAAATTTGCATCTTAAATTCTGCTGAACTTAGTCTATTAATAAGTAGACAAATCCGTCAAATCTGCTCATCTGAATGGAAAGTTTTATATCAGGCTGCACATCCCCAGCAGAACTTAACACAGGCTGTGAAAGGATAAGGACAGTGAAATCCCCACACGGAAAAAGTCAGCAGTTATTGATTCCCTGTTCTGAGAGGGAGCACAGCTGACAGCAGTGCAAGCTGTCCTGGTTTGACACTGGACACTACACAGCTCTTTAACGAAATCAGATATGTGCAAACCAGGAGGTGGCATCTTGGAAAGACTAATGCCTGTGCTTGACTTGACCAAGGGGGAACAGCCATTGAAGTAATTGCAGTGGAAATTAAACTTGTGAAGTACAAGTTAATCTTGATGTTTTGATTTTTTTTAGGGAACTCTTGAGTGCGTTTTTCCCAAAGTGCCATTTGCTGGAGGTATGCCATTAGATGTTGTTTCATTCAAGATACATGCTTCTAATCTTACAGGTGAGAAATAAAGGGTAACAACCTGGGTTCAGTAAAGACATTAAAAACAAGCAACACCTATACATAAGACCAACCCTATTATAGCATTGTTTCTTAAATGTTATGACTACTGGAACCTGAACCATGACTTGCAAATTGTCAAGGCTGTTATCACTGTGCCTTTTCTTGTCCAGTCCTTTGTTATTAAGTTATACTGCTATACTTAAACTGGAACACTGAACCAGCCCTCCACAGAAACTTCTCCCAACATCTCCCAGATCTCCTTCCCAGACTGAACCATCTGAGATGACTCCGCAACAGAATGGCAATTCTATTGTATTCCAGATTTTGGTCTTTCAGTCTTTCTTTCCCAAAGAAAGTTTCTATTGCAAAGTTTCTGTCTTTTTACACGTCTTTTTTTATAAAAGCAGTCACTGGAGTGGTTGATCTCACCAGACACGGGTAGGTGAGACTGATACCCAGGGTGTGACTTAAGCTGAGGCATCTACTGCTATTTGAAATGCTGTGGGCTATTTTGTCAGCAGGAGACCTGATGGGACAGAAGGACATGGGTCCTGCAGGCCTTTTGTCTCTCCTGCTAGTCCCATGCAGATTCAGATGCATGGTGTGATATTTTTTAGCTGTATTGTGCACAGCCAGGGCTTGGAATTTATGATCCTTGTGGATCCCTCCAGGACATTCAGTGATTCTGTGATTTTTGGGATACTCCAGCATACCTCAAATGGTATTAGGTGCCTATTTCATAGGCAACTGTGTCAAATCCCTATAATTTAACTAAGATCAGGATTAAGACACCTAAATTTAAGTGTCTAAGCTAGGTGGGTTTATGGACACTAGGGGCATAAACATCTATCAGCAGAAAACATCTTGTCAATAATGTTTGTGTAGCCTATTCAGCTGGATAGTTAGGAGGGGCTCAGTCTGGGGATTTAGCTACAAATGTTGAGCATCATTAAGTATTCCTCAGAGGGATGTTCTCCTTCCTCCCTTTATAGTCAATGAAGAAAAATTGTGAAATCTAGAATTCATCTAACCTATTTTGGATTACTATTTTTGGATGTGATTGTTTGCAACCTAGAAATGTCTTTTGTTACCACTGTCTATGTCGAGTCTATAAGAATACCTCAAAGGCACATAAGTACAGAATGGGTATCTGGGGTTATGTGAAATGAATCCCACACTTTGAGTCATGTGGATTTGTATCTTATTTTCAAGCCATCCTGTATAGATCAAGGTTACCTTCTAAAGGCACAAAGCCACAAATTTTCCAGGTAGTTAGGAGCTTACTCTTTTGCTTCAAGATAGGCTGGTCTAAACCAGCTTCAAACTAGAAATTGAGCAAACATTTTTATTGCAGTATTAATAGTAGGACTATTAATAGTAGTATAATAGTAGGACTAAAAATGTCTAATAATCTCTACTGATTGACAATGAAGGAGGGTACAGCAGTATGCTAACAGACACCTACAACTTGCTGTTTAAGTTGGTTTGCACCCAAATCCTTTGTCAGTTCACTTCAGACTAAAACAAAGATTGTCTAGATGCACCAAAAGTACAAAGGAATATGTTCAAACTCCAATCTTAGGTTTGACCCAAAAGCACTGAATGAAGTTCTTCTCAAGGTTATATTCTTAAAACCTAAGGTCCTCTCTTGCTCTTTCTAACTTTTAATTCTTTATAGAATAAGGATTTCACAATATACAGAGTTATGTGAATTGGTTTTGTTTTGTTTTTTTCTTGAAAACGCAAATCAAAATATTGATGAGGTATTTTAAAGCCGTTGAAGATTGGGACCTCAGTCTTTTTAGGTATATTACAGTTTTTCTTCAAGCAGTAGTTAGCATTTATTCCACTGCAATCTGTAGGTCAAAGTCAAATATTTGCAGCTTTATTCTATGGAGGACAAAAAGCAAGCATTACCATAACAGTACAGTTTTGTATCACAACAGAAATATTGAAAGAGATTATTATTCATTATTCTGCTGAATAATGAAACATTTTGTAAGTGGAAAGAAAATCACATATAATGCAGTTCTATTTTTGCAAAACAAATAACAATAGAACAAAACCCCTACAATATTACTATCCATTAATGCAACAGTATCTGTATTTGGAGTGTTGCAAAATGCATAATTACAATATAAACAATTTCCAGAGAGGAGTCTTGTGTGGTCATACTTTAAAACAGAAATGCATTTTGGCATCAATAAAAAGATCTAACTATGACATATGTCAGAAGAAATATATGTGTTTCAATGAGCTGCTAATGCAAGTTCCAATCACCACAGTCTCAAGAGAAACAATCTCATTTAAAATTTGGCAGTCAATTCAAACTGTACTCTTTCTTTTCTCGTCTCCCCTAATTTAATATATAGCAATAAAAACATTTGGAAATAATTAGATGCCAAACAACCATTAATAATTTACCTTGTGGCAAAGATCCAGTCACTGAAATCAAATATTTCAGTGCTTCCAAAGAAACTGGTAATGTGTCTTTTGTATTTAAGTTCTATAGTCTCCAAAGAATTTGAGAAATGCACTTATCTATATTCTGATATGTAATATAGGCAGAATTTGGCTCCAGATAGACATGGTAAGGGCATCGTCTTCGTGTTACAATGGGGATTATACGACCTTTGTTTTTCAATGAGTATTTGTATGCTCTATGTTAACTGTCCAGGACTAGTTAACTAGCAGTAGCTACATCCAGTAAAGACACAACTATATTTTAAGTTATATGTACTGTCCCATGTTTGAAGCATTTACTCAATATTTTAATAATTATGCAAATAAGCAATAAGATTATACATAAAATAAAAATATATTACCAGATTATAAAGAGGAAATTTAATCCGAAAACAGGATTGTGTATAGTGCCTGTACTTGTGACTCCTCTAAAGCCTCCAGTCAGACAAGCAATGATCATGGTGAGCTACCCTCAGGTGAGACTGCAAGGTAGTCTGCAAATCCCTGTGAAGCCACTTATTCTCATTTCTTATCCTTTTTAAGCACCTAGCAGAAATCCTCGTATAAGTATTGTTCAAACACTATCAGTCAATAATTACTTATATGGTAGATATCATTACAAGTACATTCCTTGTAATCCCATACTGACACTGATCATCCGCTATTCATTCCCCTGAGTGAAGATTCAGAACAAATAACACAGAACAGTGAACATTAGCATGTTTAGAACAAAAAAAGTCTTGAAATTTGTTAATACAAACTAGATATCCAGCATTGACTATACTAAGGAAAAGCCAGATACACTATCGAGAGAAGTATCTGACTGTGATAGCTGGAGTAGCAAAAAAGGAATAAAATTCGATAGCACAAAGTACAGACTTGAGCCCTTAGGGACCAATAACAAGAATATGTACCTTTAGGTAGAAATTTATCAGTCACAATTAATGAAAAGTAAAAGGATTTGGATGTCTTACATAGCGACTGGATGGCTGCAAACCACTGATGTGATATAGCTGTGAAAAAGGCTAATGCAAAGCTTGTCTGTTTTCAGGAGATGTAGAGAGATCCTGCTATCATCTGCAACCCTCCTGAGACCTCAGTTAAAGCATCACTGTCATCCACAATTAAGAAAGACCAATTCTATCTGAAAGACTAATGAAGGCCAATACAGCAATGTTATGAATGAAGAACCTGTCTTTAAATGGAGTAAGTAAAAGTGTTTGGCTTAGGAGAACAAAGACTAAATGTTATATGGTTACTTGGCCTAAATGTGTTGGCACCTCCACTCCAGAAAGGTACAAGTTCTAAGTAGGCTAAATGTGGGTAGGAAACAACCAGTTATTTTCAGGCCTTGGGGACTGAAAATTGCACAGTGAGTATCTAGTCAGATTTTGGAATAAGAAAAATTAGAAGTAGGACAATGGATCAGATTCTGGGGAAAAAAATAGAACTAGGACAATGGAGTTTGCTTTCTGAAAATGGAGTTTTATTAGTTTATCAAGGGAAAGGAGCTATTCAAATACCTCTTGAAGATATTGAGAAATAGGATTTGGTGACCCAGGAACTCCTTCCCAGTTTTGTGCTCTCATAAGGAACTAGCTACTACAAAACAAAGATTACATAAAATGAGTCTTACTGATGAATATTAAGTATTTTATCTGACTTTGGCTTGTTTATAATGCTTGTTGGAATGTGCTTGGACTCAAGTTCAATTAAGTATTTAGGATCTCTGATCTTATTAATCTAGTAACTTCCTATTAGATTCAATAATTCATTTATTTGGTAATGAAGGAACTTTAAAAGATTTCAGGAGCTCAAATTTCAAATGGGAACTATGTCACAGACAACACTGGGAAAGGGCAAGATAAGAACTTGGGGAGGATGATCACGTGTAGAACAGAGCAGTGTTGTCCATAATAAGAGACTTTATCAGCTTAAAGAGTTCTAAGGCAGAAAAGGCCACTAACTTTACTTCTACTGTATGAAAAAAGACCCATTAAAATTTACTCTATTATCCACAATATTAACCTCAATAACAAGTATTCTACTTGACTATAACATGTGTTTGGCTATCACATAAATTCTAGGAGTGCATCCAGTCTTGACTCAAAGGCGTCAAGAAAGGGTGAATTCATCAATTCCACTGGTAGTTTGTTCCAGTGATTAATCATGCCTAGTGTAAAAAGTGTGTAGTGCATTCCTAATTGGAATTTGTCTGCAAGATTAAAGACCCGTTTTATATCTGGTGTTTCCTCCCAGCAGAGGTTTATGTATTCTGCAATGAAGCCAATGTTTAAGCTCTGTCTATACGGCACTCTGGCACTGTCCCAGCTCCTTATCAGAGTGAGACTAAGGTGTATGTCATTCCCCTCCCATCACCTGCACTCTGACTTCTTTGTAAACAAAATCCTGGCTTCCAAGCAACATAGTAGTCCAACATAGGTCTGGACTACTAGAAAATCTCAACTCCATGGCATCTTCTTCTTCCAGCAGATAAATTAGATGAAATCACAGTACTTTTTGTTCATCAGAGAAACAACTTTTACCGTAAAATATAATTTTTCAGCCTGGAAAAAAATAATTGCTCTGCTTTATGTAGTACAGGATTTCAGTGTTACTTTAAAACTCATTTTATATTACTACTTTATATTATATCCCATTACTAGTCTCACCAATGTCATGACCCTGGTGAAAATCACCTTTCTGTTCTTACTTCATTAACACTTTCGAAAGATACTCTTTCTGGTTTTTCCACATAACTATAATGGGAGGTCAGATTCAATCACTCATCTCTTATGACCCTACATACTTTCCAGTCTTTGTCTTTTCCTAGTATGCAGTTTCTTCTCTCTTGGTGTGATAGCTATTCAATATTCTATTAAATCCTAGTTAATATTGTGGTCCAGAGGAAATCTAGCATGGAACGGTATCCTTAACAAGTCTTTTTCATGACCTTGAAAATGTGTTTCCAGGATGATTTTGGATTTTTTCTTCTTGCTTTATTTTGGCAAAGTGATAAAAAATAAACAGGAAGAGAAAATAAAACAATATTTGTTCACAAAACAGAACTGATTTTTAACTAATTTTAATATCTTTGACAAATCTCAGCAGTAACTAAATGATCATGAGAACTAAATTACCCTCCACCCCAGAGACAAACAGAGCAGAGTGGATTAGCATAGTTGTTCCCTTTCCCACTACATTTTCAGGAGACAAATATTGAAGGGTCAGTTGTCTGAGCATTTTACCCTGTGCTTTTGTGATGTCACATTGTGCATTGCATTCTGTAACACCTCGGATATTTACAGTATCTGTGAGATGCACACAAATGTCTCTGATAAACCAAATCTTCCAGCATTATGCTTGGGAACACAGTCAGTGCCTGAATGACTGGCTCCTGTAATGAATGTGAGCAGTCAGGTCTTTCAAACCGAAGCTAAAATGCAGATATTGTTAAGCACACATAATGTGGTTTGCTAACAGTGGGTGAACTTCACATGTCTCAGATATTAGGATGGGCAAGCACTCTAAAGGATGTCAACTGTGTACGAATTAAAAGCTATAAAAATCTTTTTCTGCTACCAGATTTTTAAAAGAAAACCCTAAACTGATCTTTCAGTAGGATTTTATGGTGATTGTTAAGTAATAGTCTTATTTATATTTTGTCTGTAGCTGACTGTCACAAAACAGAGAGAGACATTTTGTGTGTAGTAGCTCAGAAAGGATATAATAAAGCCAAGAAAACACAGAGAAGGCTGAAATGGATGATTCTTAATACGGACTGACTTGCCTGCTAAAAGCAACTAAGTTATGTAGGACCAAGTTAGCTTTGACTTTTCATCCTGGAAAAAGTTACTCCTGAAGAAAACAAAAATTAATGAATGACAAGGATAGGGTGAATAAGAGATTATTGCTTCCTATCTTCTCCAGTATAGGAAGAACTGGGGGTCACCTATTAAATTTGTTGTGTGGCAGGTTCAAATCAAAGGCAAAAGTGATTTTTCTCAACAAACACAATTATCTATGGAGAGTTTCACTATCACAGTGCATCTTGCGAATGCCACAAGTTTTACACATGCTCTAACGAAAACTGAACAGAACAATATTATGCTGAAGTTACTAAATGTGCAGAGATTGTGCAATTCTCAGGAAATATTGAAGCTTGAGAATATATTCAGGAAGCATATTCATGTTTAGTCTATTCCTATAATATTTCCTAAACATTATTGTGTATTTATTTTATATAATATCCTATACAAAAGACCCTTTGTTATGGATCAAAAGGCCAGTGCATCATGAGACAACATCAATAGAGCTTCAGAAATTAAAATGTGCTGCAGTTCAATAGAGCATTTAAATGAATACTTAGTTTGATTTCATTGAACCTTCAGTTTATGCTTAACCTGTTTGTAGAATAGGAAATGAAACAACTTTCTGCTTAACTCTTCTTAGGAAATAGAATCTGTGTTTATACAACACAGCAAACCACCGACCTCTGGAAGGACCTACACTGAGAAAGTATATCTTACATGCAGAATTGCAAATGTTAAGGATGCTAAATTAGAGACTTTATGTGACAGACTAAAGGAGGGTAACATTTAAATGGAATCATTTTGTATTAGTAACATCAGCTGTAAGTAGTAATATATACCTGTACAGTCCAGGTCATATCTGTGCTCAGAATATGTTACAAGACCTCAGTCCTGCTGGACTAAAGATATGCACCTTTAAAGATATACTAAGGATATACCTCATATTACATTATCCCCACAGGGAGCTCCTGGCTCATTAACTTCTTCTGCTTTGAGCAGTAATGTGGCACTAATCTTACCAAGGAAAAAAACCTGCAAGTTCTGAAAGTCGCATCCTTGCCACTAGGAGCATATTTTTGTTCAGTTGGAGTTGGCATTTTGCCACAAGACTTTGGGAAAAGTCAGGAAATGTTTTTAACTAAATGCAATGAGTTAGAGATGTGTATCTGCAATATCTGCAGTAGCTTCTTAATTATCTTAGGGTTGTAAAAATGTCCAGGACTGGAGGAGCCTAGGGAGATGCAGGTTCTGGCCGGAAATTTTCCTTGCTTTGGCTTTCCATGTGCTTTGTGTTTGGTTTTCAGGTTCTTCTGGATGTCCAGATAATGTCCACTGTATTTCTTATCAGTTATTAGAGCAGAGGTGCTTCATACCATTTGGAAACATAGTGACCAGATATGACACAGTACCTCTGGTCTCGTGACTGGCACTTGGAGGTTATGTGGATGCCACAGGGTAACTCAAACAACAACAAAATTTTTAGGCACCTGAACTGATCCTTTAGGATTGAGTCAATTTGAAATTAGCAGACCCAAAATACAGATGTCTGCATGGGCTGGAGCAGTGAGTTAGACATAGAGGTCTGGCCACCTGTGCTGGTTTTTGGCTGGGGTACAGTTAGTTTTCTTCACAGTAACTGGTGTGGGGCTGTGTTTGGGGTTTGTGCTGGAAACAGTCTTGATAACACAGGGATGTTTTTGTTGTTGCTGATCAGGGCTTACACAACACCAAGGCCTTCTCTGCTCCTCATCCCAGCAGTGAGGAGGCTGGGGGTGCACAAAGAGTTGGGAAGGGGACACAGATGGGACAGCTGACCCCAGATGACCCAGACCATATGTCATCATGTCCAGTACATAAAGCTGGGGAAGAAGAGTGTTTGGAATTACAGCATTTGAATTCCCAAGTAACCACTGAGTGCGATGGAGCCCTGCTTTCTTGTGCATGGTTCAACATTTGCCTGTCCATGGGAAGTGGTGAATTAACTCTTTGCTTGTCTTGTTTGTGTGCTGTGCTTTGCTTTACCTATTAAACTGTCTTTATCTAAACCCACATATTTTCTGACTTTTTTGTTTCCAGTTCTCTTCCCCAGCCCACTGGGGAGAAGCAAGTGAGCAGCTATGTGGGGCTTAGTTGTGAACTGGGGTTAAACCACGATAACACCCTAAAATACCAGTCATTTTCAAAAGTGGATGTGAATAGGACTTCTGGAAAACTTGTGCCCCAATGAAGCAGCCTGTGAAGGTGAGTAGGACACTTCAAGACATCTCAGGGGCATGAGATATCTGTGCTTATGTAGGTGAATTTTACCCAAGGCATTTTATTCAAGGAAAGCTGAAAGGCCATCTAGGCTGCGTAGACTGCATTAACTAGAGGTCTAATTTCACTTTAGGCACTAAATCAGATCTCCAGCTCCCTCTTCAGAAGGAATAGGCCTTGTATAGGCCCTGTGTCAGCCACTGGTACACCTTTGTCCTCTTGAATACTGCTGAATGTCTTCATTTGAGGAACTGAGCTGAATCTGAGATCTCCACTGACTACAACAGAAGTTCATAGCTTGCCTCAGGTATTGACATCTACATGTCAGCATCTACACTGAGGTATTTTGCAGCACACATTGGCTGCCTGAACACAACTATGTCGATGTATGAGGCACCTTGGCTGTTTCACCTGCCCTGCAGCTGCTGCAGGCTTGTAGGTGTATCCCTGCACTGAAGACACCTAGATACAGATGCCCACATGTCACCACCAGGGACACTGTAGGATATGCAAGGAATCTGCACAGGAGTGTGTGGCATGCCATGGTGTTTGTAGGAAAACCATATCCTTTTGGAGCATCAGCTAGAATTGGAATGTCAGGCAATAATACTACATGCCCAGACTTTGTCAGCTGAATCAAGCTACCGCATTTTAGGAAACTAACTCATTTGTTTAAACACAGAGCCACCTGATATGTCCTAGAATATTCAGGATGTCCATATGGAGACACTATGCCATTCCAGGAAATCTCACATGACATGAGATGCTTCTGTTTAGGCAAGTGCTATGTCTCTGAAGTTGACTCCCACCCTAAATGTCACTTTTATCTACATTAGTACTCTGATAATGTTCACAAATGTATCAGCATGCTTTAAGCTGACATTTAGACCCTAGTTAATTAAAACCAGGTTTTTAATCAAGAACTTTCTTAATTTCCTCCTTACAAGTGTTAATATGATTTTGTAAATCATTCATTTTTATCAGTGCTGTGTCAATGCTGAGGCTTTTCAAAACACTTCTTGCCCAAAGAGTTTAGGTGCATGGAGTAGTGTAGCCCATGATAAGATTCACACAGAAAGCTATCCATTATGAATTCTTTTCTGTAAGGATTTTAAGCCTGTAGGCTGCACTTACAGATAAAAGAGAATCTTGGAAGTGAGTAGCATCTAATTTGAAGTACCCTTTTATTTTGTTCTAATAGCATTGTTTTAAAAAGATTTCTCATTTTTATGGGATCTTTGTGAACAAATACTTATAAATTCATGAGTTTTTTTCTTTCCTTAAATTACAAAACAGCAAAAAAAAGGTTTAATTCAAATGACATCTTCTGATGGAAACCTGTCTGAAAAACAGTGTGAAAAAAATAACAGCTTTGATAAGGTTTTCATTCATTCAATTGTTTACAAATTTGCGTTGCCATGTTTTCTTCTTTAGAAACACAAAGTATAGTACATTTTGCCCCAGAAGGGAATACAATGACTGATGGTCTCCATCAAGATTTTGTTGGCTCTGTGTATAAAGCACAAACTTCACATTATGTTGTACTTGTGGTTATTGAACCTCTGACAGCTGTAACTGTGGAACAGAAGTGGGTGATCTGAGTCTGAACAGGTTGTACAACACTTGCTGGGTAATATATTATTTAAATGATGCGATTCCTAAGCAGTCTTAAAAACTGTCAGTGGACTAGACTGGTTATCAGAGGAATTAAACAGCACATTTTGCTCAGTTCTCTGCTGTGCTAAAACATCCTACTTAGCTGAGGTGTCCTTGTTGCTTCACAAGGTAATTTACTTAGAGCTAGTTTGAATATATCTACATAGCACTGCATTTTGTAGCAACACCTAAGTTGGAGCAAACAACTCCTAGTGTCCATCTTTCCAGGCAATACACAAACTAATTTTGCAAGCAGTGCAACCAGGACATTTTGTTTTTCTGTGTCTTTCTAGGTGATATTTAAGATCTAATTTTCTGAAATAAAGATTGAAGATATTTCAGAACTCAAGAAGTCTCTCATGTGTCGAATTATCATGTGTATACCAGTAAATATGCCCTGATAATCTCAAAAGATTAAAAGTGTTTCCATAAACTGGAGTTGAAAAAGATTTGGGGGAAATTGAAGGGAATACACTGGTGCAAGAGACAGATGGAAAACTGTTAAACTCTTAAAATTGGCCTCATGATTTTAAAGTATTGCTGTCCTCATGATTTTAAAGTATTGCATTCATGCTAAAATAAAGTGTCTTCAAAGGACAAGACATCTGTTTCATACTGGCAAATACATCTGCTCAGCAAACCATGTCCTTAAGTCAAGGGGCTTGAAATCTATGTGAAAGTCATTCAGTATTTGAGGAACGAGGCAGAAACAGTTACTATGAATGTAAAATATTTCTAAACTTTGTCCACAAAGTGATTTCATTAACACATACCTCAAAAAGAGGGAAAGACAAAAATAATAATCACAATTACAGTCTCTGACTTCCCATATAACATTGGACACAGGATCTTAGGATCTGATTATCTGCATGAAGTAATATATTGGAACAACCTGGTCTAGTGAAGATGTCCTTGTCCTTGTCAGGGGCTTTGGAATTAGGTGATGTTCAAGGTCCACTCCAATCCAAACCATTCTGCGAATTTGTCATTTAGTTGAGACTAATACCTATATTTTAGTCTTTCAAAGCTTTTGGTTTGAGAAAGATTTTCATTCATAAGGAATGTTCTGTGCTTTTCCCCTTAGTATGAGTAAATTCTGTTATTTCTACTTGTCTAGCTTCAGTTCTAGGTGTTGCATCCTCTTAAACATTCTTCCATTGTAATGAAGTAATGAAGCCATGAAAAATAGTCTCTATTTGTAGGTATTAGAGACGATGAATAAATCACTGCTAAACTCCTCTGAACTTAGCTAATAGAAAAGCTTATGTTTCTCCCAGAGAGGCCAAGCTCACACATCTGCAGCATTCAGTAGCTATTATGGATGGGTTTTTAATTCTGTGATGTACATGATTCAATTTTTTTTATTGTTTTTGTTTCAGAAAGAGCTGCTTGAATTTAAGTATCAGACCTGAGACGCAGGTAAATAAAAATAAAAGCTGTGGTATGAACCTCCACTGTGATAGCTACTGTAGCTCTCTATATGGCTTCTTTACCTTCAAAACAGGAACCATGTAGCAGTATGCAGGCAGACTGACACCTTCACCTGTACACTGGGTTGCTGAGAGGAAAGGTTTCTTCAAGGCCAGTGACTGTGACGCAGGTGCTGAACTACAGGTTCCCCACCTAGTAACCTGTTCATCTGCCCATACATCACAGCCCAGCGCTGCAAGACTCTAATAAAAGCACTGGGCTTTAACTGAACCCTTCACAGCATAAATACTTGCCTTGTCCAGGAGCTATTCCATGTCTAATACACAATCAGTAATAAAAAAAAAAATAAAGCAAAAATGACTGGGCAGCGTCTTTGTCCTGCAGCATGTTCCTCCCTGCAGCAAATCTACATGATGATACTTCTTCCCTTTTTGCAGAGGTCTGATAATGCAGCAGCAACAAAGAAGTGTCAATTAGCACTTCCACAGAGAGCAGAAAATCCCATATAGATGGATCCTTACTGCCTTTATGAAAGATTATATATATATATATAATTGTTTATATCCAGTTCCTACCAGCATATCCGATCAAAATGATTTTACAGTAGTTAAATATAGACAATGGTTTTTTTTTTCTGGAAAGAATCAATGCCAGGAAATAATAGAGGGAACAAGGTAAATTATGGCAAGACAAAAAAGTATTTACACAGACCTTCTAGAACGTGCTGAAGTGCTGACTAAGAGAAACACTTAAGCTTTACTTGATTCCTTCTTTGAGATAAAGGGGTCTAATCAAGAGCTGTAAGTATACCCAGAAGGCCAATCTGAACACTCTGCTGAATAGATTGCCATGAAAACTTCAATTTGCAGAGAAACCTGATAGTTTTATAAAAGGTAGACTTGGAGGGAGTGTCTGGTTTGCTGTCTTTTAGAATCACAGAATGGTTTGGGTTGGAAGGAACCTTAAAGATCATGCAGTTCCAACCCCCTGCCATGGGCAGGGACACCTTCTACTATCCCAGGTTGCTCCAAGCCCTGTCCAACTTGGCCTTGAACACTTCCAGGGATGAGGCAGCCAGAGCTTCCCTGGGCAACATGTGCCAGGGCCTCACCACCCTGACAGCAGAGAATTTCTTCCTAATATCTAATCCAAACCTATTCTCTTACAATTTAAAGCCATTTTAGATATTTCCTCCATTTTGATTCCTTTTTCTTTTGTATAGCAGTCAGAAAAAGATGGAAATACCTTGATGGGATCAGTGATATTGCCATGGACTAGTAGATTTCTAGAGATGATCATCAGTTTAAAAGTGAGCTACAGAGCAGCCCCAAGGCTGTGACAAACGGTCAGCAATGAAGAAAAAAAGGTAAGGCAGGGGTTAAAAATATTTAATTACTTACAGAGCAAGGTAAGAGGAAAAACTCCATACTTTTAAAAAGTGTGGACAACCAGTGCTCAAAGTTTAACTAATTTATGACCATGAATACAGGTGTAAAGTATGAGAAAGGATGAATTAAAACATTGATGCAGACTATGAATTTTGGAGTTTTCAGGATCAGTCTCCTTGGAAAGAAGTATTACACATTTTTCTGTATGGGACATTGGTATCAAAGTTAGGTAGCAGTGACAGCAGAATGATTTTTGTTGCTGTGCCATCTTGGGGAGACTGGAAAAAATCCTGACAGGTACAACTGCAATTTTTTAAAACCTTGTAGCCTCCTTGTCATTTCATTTCCTCCTGTCCTTGTAACCATTCACCTCCTGTCTTCTCTTACCAATCGTGCACTAGAATCCCACCTATGCTCCTTATTTTAAGAAATAAAAGTATGCCTTGTATGTAGAGTAGTTTTTTCCAGCATCTCTGGCTGATTTTTGCTTTTTTTCTGCCCTTTGCACCTTAGAAGTAAAAAGGCAAGTTTTGCCAGGAGTTTGAAGGGAACAAAGTTAAGCTGTATGAGCTCTTTTGAAAATCCCACCCACAGGTGCACCAGGCAAAGTAAAAACATGAAATCTCCTTCTGAAGAGTTAAATCTGCCATGTTGGAGATGTAAGGCCAAATCCTCAGTTAGTGTAGATCAGCCCTGACACTAAACACATGATCCACTCCAGTACCTTCCTCCACCTCTGCAATAAACTTTCTATGCTTTCTCCATAGGAAGTTTCAGCTGGGACCCAGCTTGCTAATGCTCACAACAGTAATTCTCCTCTTTCTTTCTCAAAACAGAAGCAAATAGTCTTATAAAATATTAAGCAATTACTACTTTATTCTTCAAATATAATATGGAGGCTTGATGCTGCTACAAAGACCAGAAAATGCAGTGCATTGCTCAGGTCATACAGATGACAACTGGAATTGTTTCTCTGCCCCCATCCTAACCTTCCTCCATCATCTCTAAAAAAAAAAAAAAAGTGAATCTTACCTTCCAACCCATTAATTCACCCGTGTCCTTTCCTCTTAATTCATTGAAATGTTTACTTTCCACCTTTCTCGAAAGCCTGGGTCCATGGTCACTTCTGTATGTCTCAACAGTATCTAGCAGAAAGAGGTATTTCCTTTGCAGAAATTTTTGCAGTTGCCAGCATCACTTTTCAACCTAATAAAATAGAAAACTCTTCAATTAGAGATGAGCCAGAGAAGTGATCCTGCTCAACCCTAGGCCCATGCTCTGATTTAATTTTATATCCACAAGCCCTACCAGGCACTTCTAGAAATGCTTTAAGAAAAGAAGTTTAAGAAATGGGAAAAAAACCCTCCCTGCTTATGCTATCCTCCCATAATAACTTCTGAGGGAGCCTTTCCTAATGCGCTGTGCTTCCCTGACTGCCACGTTATTGAAGTGGGAATCTGTGCACCAAAGGAAACTCGGTCCAAATATTTCAACAAAAAGAATTACTGGAGATTCTGCTGGCATGTGCAAATTACAGAATAAGAGCTGGATACTTGGCACTCTTCTGCTGACTGTAATTTGCTGCATTTGACTAGTCTGCTGTTTGCTTCCCCACAACCCCTGGGACACCTCTGGCTAAAACATTGTTTGTAACCTGGATTTCTATTTTATTAACCTTCTCCTTTATCTAATGACAGTCTGTCATGTTCTGGGATGCCAGAACAACATTTGCCTGATAAGATGTCTCCTGGGAAAACAGGCAGTTATAAGGGATAAAAGCATACAGAAATGGCCAGCTTCAGCAAAAACTGCAACTCTGTGAACTTGCCTTAATTAATATGTTCTCTACTCTTGGTGCATTTGTACTGCCACAAATGTCATTATTTTCAGTTTATTAAGGATGCCTGCAATGAGAGGAGAGTTTTTCTGGAAACCTGATCTCTTGTATGTCTTCCATATTGATGGTATGAAAAAATAAAATGTTCTTTGGAGAGGAGGAAGAATAAGCAAAGAGAAACTTTATTACGAAATCACAGCTCTGAGTTACATTTTTTCATTTTTTCATCATATGGAAATATTCTAGTAACAGAACCCTGCTATGAGCAATCCATCTTCACTGAGCATATTTAATATGCATGGAGAGAGTAATAGCTTGTGATTTTTTTCCTTGGACTTCCTCATTTCATTTCCCTCCATTAACTCTTTTACAACTCCCTGTAGCACTGAAGTGTAGCACCAGTTATTCATGGTACATTCTTTTCTGTCTTCTCAGCCACACTTGTGCTTCTTGCTCCTGGCAAAGAGATTTTCCTGACCAATAAATAAGCTTTCTGATGACAGCAATTTGAAATACAGGTGTAAAATGCAGAGAAAATGTCATGTACTTCAATTTAGATATTCTCCATTTCAGTGACTAGGCCAAATTTTAATCCCTAACTTATACATAAATCTGTGTCTCATTCCTTTTTTAAGTCTGAGCATTTGAGAGTTTAACATAGACCATGCCCTGTCCTGGGAGAACACTCTTAGGAAGTCAAAGGACAATTTATTTAGTGAATATATGACCATCATCACTGTAATAGGCAGTTTCCTATTGATTAAAATACGAAAATGTCTTATGCCCTTCTTGCCTTATCATCATGTGGATTCCCAGGAGTTCACAGCAATAAGAACAGCTGTGTTATGTCATAGTTCACATGTCCATACCTTTTGTGATTTTTTTGATATCTCTTTTGACTGACACTACATGGTGAGGAAACTCTGATGAAAATTACTTTCATCCTCTTCATAGTATGTAATATCACAACTTTTGGCTCCAAAGTTCCAATAACTACAGATATTGAACATTTTTTTTTTACCATTGCAGCAAACAGCCATCTGTAGAGCCCAGATCATGTATTATTCTCCCAGTGATGAAAATCATGGAGCTTTTAATGAAAATCCATAGCCACTGCACACAGGCAGAAAATCACATACAGTGAATGCTGGGTAGGACTCATGAGCACTGTGAAAAATATGGTGCAGAGTAAGCCCATAACATGCTCATTGTCATTTGTAAAACCTTATTAAAAAACTAAGCATAACATTTCCAACTGAAGTTTCCAAAAGAGTTAGTGGGAAATACAGAAGGTGTCAAACACATCAGCACTAGGGGTACCCTGCTGGGATGCACATATCAAGAACACACATACCAGTTAACTGAACACTAAATTTTTTCCCTCTAAGTTTTACTAACTTTCTAATAACTCTGGGATGTGCTTATTTGTTGTTTGCATGAGTTTCTGGTGTTGGGTTTTGGTTTGGTTTGGTTTTTAGGTTTTGTTTTTTTCAATCAAGCAAAATATTAAGCTGGAAACAGATTGTGAAATCTGTGAAATATAAACAATTTAATTTCTTGTCTTCTTTCTCCTTTTATGATGATCATGTCTTTATTACTATATGACCTCCATACTCAGTAGACTCTGTATGTATAGCTATGACATCTCTAATTCAACAGAGCCAATGCCTTGTTAGTCAGAAATCTTCCAGGTAGATGTATCAAGTGGTGTCAGCTCAAGCCCAAGAGTACTGCTCCTTTGGAGGCATATTGATTAAATTTTACAGCTCATTACTTAAAATCAAGAGAAATATAATGTTCAACTAAACTGTTTGCAGCTTAATTTCTCTACATAATTAATTATTCTTCCCCCAAAAGGGCAGACCCTTCTTGCTACATGTTGTTTTCATTGTTGTTAAACTATTTAT